CATATAACAGGAGTTGCCAATATCAAGCCATCATATCCCTTTTGATCTATCGCATAATCATCGTTCCCAGCGAAAAGAAAAAAAGGATACTGGAATTAACAAGAGAAGTCATATATATGCTTGCAATTAATAAAATTATGTTTTCTTAATAATTTCCTCAATGTAAGGCAACTAGTCAAGAGAAATATTTTCATGTATTTCAGTGATTTTCATGATATTGGGATATTTATAATTTTATCTTATAGATGCTAATTAAGATTTTAACCCCTAATCAATGAATGCCCGCAAATATGCCGTTGAGTTGTGGCACGTACAAGGCATTCCAGCAAAGGCATGGATTTAAAAAAAAAAAATCAAGAGAAAGATTTTTAATCCCCAATTAATGAAATCCTTTGGGCTGATCTATATAAATTTCTTCATCTAATCCTCATTTAGAAAGGGAATTTTAACATCAATTTGGTGAATTCTTAAATCAAGTATAGTGGTTACTACAATTAGTAACATGACGGATCTAGTAATTGGAGAGAAGGTATAAAAAAATATAGGTTTTCTAAAGCCTGTCTTTTTCTTTGTGTATGATTCCATTTGGTTTGAGTTTCCTCCTAAAGAGCCATTTATACCTATTAGTTTTATATCCTGCCGATAAATCTACTAACTTTCAAGTTTTATTAGAAATCAATGACTCCATCTCATCATTTACAACCTATTTTCAAAAATCAGTATCATGTGAGACAAGATTAATTTCTTGTAAGGTTATGAGGTTTTCATTAATGTTAAAAACATGAAATCCTTTTCAATTCTAGCTCTCTTAATTATTGGTTTAGGAGTTGTTTATTCTAATAAAAGAGGTATAGAGGGGCTAGGTTTTAAAAGAATAATTTATTTAGTTTCTTATACCCTATTATTTATAAGTTTAAAAGAATTGTTTTCATGGAAAATAAAATCACATTACTCAATAATCATATTATTTTTAATGTCTAAAAATCTATAGGTAATTGTATTGTATATGTAATGTATAACAAAGAAAAGCACAAATGGCAACTCTAATACCTACTTTAGGTATTGATTTTAGGATCTTTTAACCTCACATATGCTAAGTATCCCGACACTCTCAAGTATATTAAATTTTGCGTATGCTCCTTCCACAATTCAAATGATATAAATTTACTATCTTTATATGATAATTTATTTAATTAAAGCATGGAATGCAATCAAAATTACCTCACTCCAAAGAAGTATATTTTTGAAAACAATCATCAATAAAAAATGATAAAGTATTTATACTTTCAATTAGTTAGAATTCCTTCAGATTAATTCACAAATAACAGTGTGAATTAACTCTAACAATTTAATATTTCTTTTAACACATCTGTAAAACTTTATTATGATCTTATCTTTATCCATGTTTCACATTTCTTTTTATATAAAATATGTTTAACATTTAAATTAATCCTAAATTACATATAACTCCCACATATCTATTGTCTATGTGACATAAACGTGTTTGCTAAACAAATATAGAATATAGCTAGCATGCTAACTAATTAAATTAGCAAATATATTACTATTTTCAATATTTGATTTGAACATGCCATCATAAGCATAATCTTTATCAACAGAAATACTTTTTTTCTTATGATCACATGTTGATAAGACTTTATAAAATATTTAAAGCCAACCTTGTTAAGAAGAAAACTTTACATCAAATTCTTTCTCATAGAAGGTTTAGACATCACATCCTTTAGAGTCCATACTTTTACAGGGGTGAATTTTAAACAGACTTCTCCACTACAAAGTATTTTGGTGGTTTGTGAACGATCACCAAGCATAATTGCTTATGGCTCCTTATAAATAGTGTAAGATGTCCACAAATTTTAGTCCTAGCAAACATGTTATATAAGTAGCACTAGAATTATCGCACAACCCTTTAATATTTCGGATTATATATATATGCATTAAAATCCTATTTTCATATGGTTCCTATTTTCATTATTATATTTTGGAAATCTACCAAAAAAATTATGTTTCTCTTCAAGAGGTTTCTATTGGGTATTTTTAGCTAGGGTATTGTTTTTTAGACAAGTTATTATTTTCAAAAATTAAATTTACTTTACTCATGGTAGATTGTCCATAGCTCTTTTGTGCCATGATTGCATCTTGTCATCTAGCTCTTTCTCCAAATAAATGCGAGTTATGAGTCCCATCAAGGATGTCTTTTTTCACTTGTTGCATATGGTGTTTTGAAACTCCTTTTAATTAGGTGGTAGCTTGACAATAATTAGCTTATCTTTGATTTTAATTCTTTTATACATAAGCTCTTCAACAATCATTATGAAGTTTTAGAGGAAATTATTTTTAAAGTATTTGTTTTTAAATATATTAATATAATATTTTTTATATTTTAAAATTTATTTTTTATATCAATATCTTAAAACAATTTAAAAAATTTAAATTAATTAATTTGAAACAAAATTATTTTTTTTGCAAATTTCTATTTAGCCAACATTACCAAAGAGGTACTTAAGCTTGGCCTACAACGGATTTTTCATCCATCATTTAGAAATAGAAAGGGCGACTTGCAATACATTTCGTAGTATCGGCTTCCTCAATATCATATTCATTCTACGAAGCTTTCCAAATTTATTTTTTTTAAGATGAATAAAAATTATCATAAAAATTAAATGCTTGGCAATTGAGGAGATAACACTAACAATTGTACTCATCCTCTTATATTTTTCCACCTTAGCTTGGGAGGCCTCATATTTTTTTCATCGATCATGTTACTAGTGTCATGAATCCTTTTCAAGTTCTTTTATTAAGTACATGGGCAACTTAGAAATAATTAAGGTAGAAATAACACCTTTGCTTTCTACATCTTAAAGTTTGCACCCTTAAAACCAATGGTCTTGTTAAGATCTCCGACATAACTTAATTTCAATGGGTTTCTTGGAATGCTCCATGGAACCTCCATTTAATATTGTTGGTACTAGCTAATACAATACCCTCTCTTTTTTGCCTTAATATATACACGCCAAGGGAATACATGCATTGATAAAGCACCAAGAGAGCAAAATAGAGCTTCCAACTTCCAAGGATAATGAATATTGAATAGCACTGACTTCTGTGAAAAAGAAAATGAAAAGGGTTTGTCGATATACCTCTTGTACCGATTATTGTACTTTGTAATCAAGCTTTTCCTTGACTGTCTAGGGATCATATTGTATTTAATTAATTAAGCATGTACTGGACTAGAATAATCAAACTTTATAATGATATGGGAAAGTATCAAATAACAATATTATTTTATAATAAAAGCTTAAGGTTGTGTGATAAGCACAGGCATCTGCTAGCTTGCGACTATTAAAAAAAAATGCAATTCATCTGAAATGTCCATTTTGATATTAGTTAATTTCGAAATGAAAAAAATTACTCAACACAATATTGAATAATTAACTACTGTATGATCCCCAGTCTTATGATTAGTTACAAAGAAGCATCTCTCATGGCTTTACGAGGAAAAAAAACTGGGCCACACATCTAAAATGGCAGTAATGCTCGTCAAGGTGCTTTTGAAGGGGATGCAAACAAAGGTTGTTTGGTGCTGTCTAGTCACTTTTAACCCAATTCGATCGGTTGAGGAGGATTTTCAGTTGGCGTTCAGGTTCGTTTTAATTCAAATAATTTGAATATAATATTTGTTATTGATTTCTAGTCTAAGTTAGATAGAGTTTAATTTTATTTAGTCTAGTAATTAGATATTAATTACTAGCACACATTTTCAAAACATAAACGGAACAGTAAGTAGGTTTGTTTTCAATTGATGCATTCTTATTAAATTCTAGTTAACTATAGTTCTGTTAATTAGGATGTTTAAGCCATATGATTGTTCATTGATGTTGAGCGTTCATTTCATTTCGTTGACGAAACTGTGGTTCCTCGCGCAAGTTTGAAAGGGTTGTAAGTTTTGTTTTTAATTTTATATTTTTTAAAAGTATTTTTTTATTTAAAAATATATTAAAATATTCTTTTAATCTTTTTATTTTTAATATTAATTTAGTATTTTTTCAATACAAACATAATTTTAACCGCAATATCAAAATTGTCGTAACTAAGTTTACAATTGTTACCAAAATTCACTAGCTAGGTGATCCAAAAGTCATTGCCTACTAGACTACAAATAAATTTACTAACCAAAAAGGAATTCAAGCTCACATAATGGTGGATCTTGATTCACTCAATTATATACTCCATGTACAATTCTTTACGCTGATCATGGAGTTATTAGAGTTTGGTAGCATCAATTAAAGTGATTTCAATGTTTGTGAGCGTTTATAACTTATCAAATATTAAGGCTCCAAACAGCTTGATTTTCTTAATTTTCATTTCTGAGTAATACATCTTTTCTCAAAAATACTATAAAATAAAATCTAAACTATCTCACATGGATGCTTAATCTAGAATCTGTGTACTAAATAACATCTCTTACGAAGTGAGTTCTTAACTATAGAATTATTAGATTTTGGAAATGATTTTAAAAAAATGTGAGAATGGTAAAATTATTATTATTATATATTCTTTAACTTCATGTGCAATTTCTACACTGTACGTGACCATATATCCTGACAAAGCATTGCTGAGACTACAGATTCATATAACTCTAAATATTAATTGTATGCTCTTTTCTCACAGTCATTTATTATTTATTAAAATAACAGAAATAATACAAAACTAACCTTAATAACATCCAAGATGTTCTTGTATAATTCATGAAAAAAAAAAAGGGATGTTCTTCCATACCCAAAGTATACAAACGTTAGACACACACAACGATGTCGATAGAAATCGGCTGGCCCAAAAACGTGAGAGAAATCCGAGTTTCTCCTGTTCAATTAGTGAAAAAAACAGAGCCCCTGCGTTTTTTATAAATTAAAGGATACATGTCTTTATGTATGCGTTTCATTATATATTCCACAAATGTTTATATAAAATTTTGACAAATATTCCATACTTAGAATAAGAAAAGAGATATTGTAACAGTATATGTTACTAGACTCCATCAATCACTGTTCACACACAAACACTCCCCTCGTTCTTGTACGTACGCACATAATCCATAAAGCAACGAGGTACAAAGGATTTTCTCACAAAACCATCCTAAACATTCCTCTTCCTTCTTCTAAAACCAGTTTCAAGAAAACGGTATCCTTTTTCTTCATTGTTTGAAGCTCTAGCTAGCTAGCTGGCTGTTTCTCAACATCCTCGTCTTCAAATTTCATCCATGGATACTGCTCAGTGGCCACAGGTATATAGACAGATCTATGATAATATCCCTTTGGCTAGCTCTTGATCTCTCTGAGACTCTTGGACATGAATTGTATGGTTTTTGTTGTTTGTTGGGTTCTCCTTTTGCAAAAGAGTGATGGTGTGTGTGTTCAAGGCTGGCTAGCAAGTGCAAGTCCCCACTCTTTTGGATTGAGTTTGTATCGGTTGTTTCTTTCACCATATATCAATACCACTTTATCTAGCTTTCTCTTTTGCTTGTGTGATAAAAAAGAAAGAGCGTTATGTATGTTTCCCTTTTTCTTTTTGATCATGGGCTGATATAATGTTGAAAAGTGTAAAGTTGCTAAATTGGTTTTTTTTTTTTTGTTGGGGGTTGTTTGTTTGTCTTCAAGCTCTTTGATCTTCAAGTAATGGCGTTTCTTTTCTTGTTTTTGTGCTTTATAGGAGATAGTGGTGAAACCAATAGAAGAGATAGTTACAAATACATGTCCAAAGCCTCCTGCTTTGGAGAGGAAGGCAAGGCCTCAGAAAGAACAAGCCCTCAACTGTCCAAGGTGCAATTCAACTAACACCAATTTCTGTTACTATAACAACTACAGCCTTACACAGCCTAGGTACTTTTGTAAGACTTGTAGAAGGTATTGGACAGAAGGGGGTTCTCTGAGAAATATTCCGGTCGGTGGAGGTTCAAGAAAGAACAAGAGATCATCAGCTTCTTCTTCATCTTCTTCAAAAAAACTTCCTGATCTGATTACACCAACAAGTTTGTCACAAACTTCTACACAAAACCCTAAGATCCATGAAGGCCAAGATCTAAACCTAGCTTTCCCATCCACTCAAAGTATTAGAAGTTTCTCTGAATTGATTCAATTACCGAGCATTAATGAAAACAACAACAAGAACCCAATATCTTCCTCTACTTCTGCATCTACTACCACATCCCAACTTTCAGCTCTGGAGCTGTTAACTGGAATCTCCTCCAGGGGTTTGAATTCTTTTCCTATGCCAGTTCAAGATCCAAGCACACTTTATACATCAAGTTTTCCTCTTCACGATTTCAAACCAACCTTGAATTTCTCTTTGGATGGGCTTGGAAGTTGTTATGGGAGTCTCCAAGGGGTTCAGGAAGCTAATGGAAGACTTTTGTTTCCATTTGAAGATTTAAAGCAAGTTTCAAGCACGGCTGATATTGAGCAAAATAAAGAGCATGGTGATTCTACAGGATATTGGACTGGAATGTTTGGTGGAGGATCATGGTAAATTAGATGAAGAAAATAATTTGAGGGTTTTGTCTTTTTTCTTTTTGGATTTTTTTTTACTTTATTATAGTAAGTTCTTAAGGTGGGTGACTTGGTTTGCATTTCTTCATTACTAACAGATAGGATACATGGGCGTCTTACTCTCTCTATCGGCTTCGTTGTTTTACTCTAAATTTTCTTCTTTACTCTTCAAACTTGTGGGAATTTGAAGCTCATTTTAGGTTGGCTTCATTAAGGCTAAATTACTGATGGGAAACCGTGAAATGATAGAAGAAAAGATCAATTACTGATGGGAAACCGTGAAATGATAGAACAAAAGATCAACCCAAGCTAAGTCGAGAATTTTCTTAGGGTAACAAGTAGAATTGAGGGTATGCTCCGTGCCCTTTAACTTCGTGTTAATTATATCTTCTATCATTTAAAGGAAGAGCTAGCAAAAAGGCCAGTACTATATATTATGTGTCATTGGTTGGCATGGTATAATAAAAAATAATGTATAGCGTAAGAATTTGCAAGGAGTTTTATAGATTAAAGGCTACATATGTTCATTAGTCTCTTTCATTTTAGCAGGAATATTGTTGCTGTTAATATTATTCTTATTGAAACCTCGGTTGGATTGCAATGGTGGCTTTGGATTTTCTACTTCCAATCTCTCTCTCTCAGTTTTTGTAAGCAGGTTTTGAGTATTAGTCTCATCAAGACTGAGATTCTAGCAGACAGTAAGCATAAGTCCAGAAAGAAAAGTTGGGGGTAAGAGAAGATGGAACCAGGTAGGAATTCTAATCCTTCCAAGTGTAATTCCAGAAAAGAAAAGAAAAGAAAAGAAAAAAACTCTTCCACGAAGTAAATCGCAGTTGTGTATACTAGAGCTTTCAACTGAAAAGCTCACTACTGAGAATTCTATTATATCCAAACAGTTCTTTGAAGACTCTTACACTTCTCACAGCTGCCTTGTTTCCACATGAATGATCATTGCTTCCATGCCACCTCTTCTTTTCCTTTTTTTTTTTTTTCTAATTGAAAGATTGAGAAAGATCTAACAAGCCCTCATTTCTGTGGTCTTCTTATTGGGACCCACAGACATTCTCCTAGGCAAGTGTGCAAGAGAATAATGCATCCCACTGAAAAAAGTCTGATGATCCATCTAGATCTAGACCCTTTTATTTATAAAATTAGTTTATTTTCGTTTCTCTGCTGTAAGGCACTTAGCGTGCATAATAACTAGGGCAAATGTTAAGAGGCACCACCCTCTAATATAGGGGATGTTTTTCCAGCCAAATTTAGAGGCCTAGTTTATGCAACCGGTACGACCTTGATTAATCCTACCCTTTGCCTTCTTCTATGGGCTGTTCGGCAACCAGTATATATCTCCGGCCAATATTTGATTCAACCTGACAAAACCAATATGTAAATGTTCAACTGTTTCCTCAGCAAGGCAGAGCTGGTCTTGGAAAATTAGGACTCTCCACTTTGAGTCACCTGGCCAGTCTTAATTACCCTTTTTTTTATTTTTCAAATTAATTAGGACCTACCATGTTATCTTATCTTACGACATATATTGTTATCGAACCAAAATATATATCTCATCATCGGCGCATAAGATTTACCCCCCTAACAGCTAAAGCATTTCATGGATATTTTGGTTTCTTCCCGATTGAATGGATTTGATTGCTTTATCCACAGGTCCATAGCTGTGCGGCTGTGAACAGTGAATATCCCAAGTCAAAATCAAATTTCAAAGAATTCGCATGCAGTATATATGGCATGCACCCCCTCCCCTCTTTTCCATGCACTCATGTTGAAGGGCTGAATGTTGCAGATATTAATGCACAATTTGGGCGAAAAAGAAAGTGAGGGATGAGTCATGAGCCATGCTGCACATATAGATATGCATCTGCTGCTTTGGATCATGTTTTGGGTGCTAAAAGCAACATTAATAAACGAGGTTCTTACGCGTAAGGTGGCTCTAAATTCCAAGCTAAATTAATGAGAACTGCCAAACACGGCATCGCTTATAGGACTCTGTCGGAAGGGGCAGTTAAGCTAACCACGTGTCCTCAAGCCCGCATTACTTCATCTCACCACTTTTATGATGTGTTGGCGTGCGAGTTTTTAAGAGAGTGGATCTGCGTTGTTAACGCAAGATTTACGGCTCGAATTCTAACCACCCCAATTTTCACACATTATCTATACATAATTTCGATTAATCTATCTTTTCGGTGATTTTTTTTTTAAATTATACGTTTGTAACTATAACAATTTATTCAAATTTCAATAGACTCTTCTCTATATCACAAAATTCCAAATTAGTAACTAAAATCTATTCTTAATTTAACAATCATTAAATGCATCTTGAATATCCTTCAATCATCCTATACATTCCCATGTAAATATAATTAAAATAACCTTTAATCTTATATTCCATCATTATAATTTATTTACCATATAAATATAAAAAACATATTATCACAAAGTATTATGAGTTAATTAAATATGTTCATAATTTTTTCATAACAAAAAGTTATAAATTATAAAAGTTGATCAACACATTCTAATTTAAATAATTTAGTAGATAAAAAAAATCTCATTTCTTACATGCTAAGTAGACATTACAAAAAAAATATAGGTTATATAATTATTAATTTTAATAAAAACAAATCCTATATATTTATCAATCCGCTAAAAGCTATGAAATACTTGTAATTTAATTCAACATAAATACAACAAAATTACTTAATAAACAAAAGAAATAAACTTAAATTTTATTTTCACTGCAACTATATTATATCACTATTAATTATTATTTTTACAAAGCAATTAGTCTTAATTAATTCAATATAATTATACTAATATTTTACCATGAGTTGCCGATCCATTTATCGGTACTCACTCACTTATCCTAACATTTATTTTTATTTTTTATATTTGAAAAATAATCTATCACCAGGCAATTAAATCTTCATGTCTATTTTCTAAGCGATAGTTTCCTCATTGGTTAATTAGTTTTTTTTCTTATTATTTGGGCATTAGTTTATTTCTGAGAAACTATCTCTTTCATTTTCAAGCAGTAGTTCCCTTACTGGGAAGTTAGTTCTTTCGCTCAATATCGAGCACCAAACATTCTTATTCAATTTCTCACCTTTAAAAGCAATCATTATCATGTCACTTACATTATAACATCATTAAATACAATTTTATAAAACTTATCAATCCAACTCACATTTATTTAAAATAATCAAAACAATTCCAAAAAAAAACACTCATGATAGGAATTCATAGCAAATTTACATTCCACAATATTAACATAATCATATATATATATTTCTAATTGATCACAAATATTTATTATAATTCACACTAGCAATAATATAATGAGATAAAAATGTATAGTTTCAATTAATTTTCTCCTTATATGTAAAATCAATCAATAACAACGATTCTCATCTCTAAGTTTTATGATCATTACAAAGATTTCGATTCACAACGACATAATCAATTTAATTTATTTTATATAATATAATTAAACTTGTCTAAAATCATCTCACACAAAATTATAGATTGATAAACTTCAATTCACTTAAATAAACACATTCTTTCCATCGTACATCAATTAGCATCCCTTGACTAATCATGAATGCCTTTAAGATTATCATGCTTTCTTCATTAATTCTCACTTATTTAACTTCTATTATATGTCGTTTTAATTCAATTAAGTCAATTTATAATCAATTTATATTTTCTTTAAATTTTTCCCTCTTAAGAAAGCGTTTGAAGGTGGTGATTCACAATCTCTCTTTAATTTTGTTGGTTTTCTAATTTTTTTTCTTAAGAATTCTTTTTAATTGTGTTTGTTTTCCTTTTTTATTTTCTTCTTACTTCTAGTCCGCCAACAGAGAGAGTGTTTTTATAGTTAATTTCTTTGATTATTTATACATTAACCCCACAATTTCATTTAATTCTCAATATATCTCTATAATTTAATTTTTTAATTGATTTTTTTTCTTATCATTTCATTTCAATTTCGTTCTTGACATTAAATTTGAATTTAACTCATTTTTAAGTTATTTAGCCGAAACTTTACACAAATTGACGCGGTGTTTTTCACAAGCTGTAACAGAGATGGCACGGAGTACAACCATCAACGATATTCCAAGACCTACTTGGGCCCTGCAAATATTCCCCTGATGATGAATAATCAGCAACTTGCACATCTTTACCAGGACAGGTGATATGATTACCTTATCTTCGCATCTTCAATTGTGGCAAAATTTCCTATTTATTTTTATATTTAAAAAATATTAAAAATAATTTAAATTTTTTATTTTTTTACTTTAAATTAATATTTTTTAATATATTAATATCAAAAATATTTTTTAAAAAATTAAAAAAATATTATTTTATTATATTTTAAAATAAAAAAACACTTCAAAAAACCACAACCATCCTTAAGATACCCAACCATTAATCCCAAATGCCCAATCATTAATTTTCTAGTATTCACCCAGAACACACGGGCAGTTGTGCTCCTCACTCTCCCTAAATCTGCACGGAATATATTGATTACCTCCTCTAATTATGATTTGGAAATATTCAACCCAGAATCAAGTTTTTTTGAATTAAATGTGACCAGTTGAATCAACCTGCTCAAAAATAAATAAAAACGTGACCGGTTAAGCTTTCAAACCCAGAGACTCAGCTCCATGATCCATGCTCAGTTTCACTTTGATCCCTCTTGGGAAGTATTTTATTAAATGGCTTGAGTAACCACTAACCATACAGGGTAAACAGTAAAAAATAAGATGATATATATCTGCTGGTACGAAGAAGAAATGTGTTGATACACTTTTCTTCCAGCATGTAACCTAGTGACGTATATATATATTCACTCCATAATTTTTATAAAAAAAAAAAAGAAGAAAGAAATAATAATAACCCTTCCAGTTTCAGTATCTGTACAGGGACATTACCATTACATTGGAAAGTGAAAAAATCGGAGTAAAGCAAGCATGAATCCCTTTGCATTTCAATGATCAGCATTGATTCCGAATATGCGAACCTTGTGCATGTTTGGGAACTTAGCAACAACCAGCACAAATACAGCCAATGTGTTGAAGAAGAGCATTGGATTTTGATAGTCTGTTGTGTGCGAGGCCATCAAATACCTGCCAAATGAAATATAAGGCCATAGGCGCTAAGCAAAGGACAGTTATTTTGGAAAGAGAAACTCCTTCAGTCAGTTTATGCTCACAATGATAATTGCAAGAGTGCTGCCACACATCATGATAGCAAACAAATAAACAAAATCTTAACAATTTCACCTTAGGAACTACGGAAACAGACAAAAATTCAAAAGAGTTAAAGACTTTTCTTATAAGAAACAATCCCTTTTCAAAAGCCTGAAAAGGGACCAGTTACTCATGAAAAAAGCAAAGAACTATCCAGTGACAGATAAATCCATCTTTGTAGCAAACCATGGCAATCATTCCTAAGATCCTTCTAGGAGACGCTTAGCCAAATAAATCAAGTCAAAATGCAAGAGATTTTGAAGGAAAGAATCCAAATCAATTCAAAAGACTTCAGTTCAACTCAAGTAGAGGCTCAAGCAGTTGAACCTACCCCATGCTTGGTAAGGAAAAAACACCATCTTAGGAACTTTTTCCCAACAACATACCACCTTTACAGATGCCCTCCCATCCCACAACTCTTTGTCTCTCTCTCTATCACACACACAGAGAACACAACAAAGAATTGTGGTGCTGAACGAAACCTCATCCCAATATCCATAATCTAAGACACATAAACTACTGAACAATTACAAACTAACTGTCAAATAATTTCAACTAATCAATAGAACACAGTACAAATCCCTTACCATATTGAACCAATCAAATAGGCATCTGTGCAGAGATATTAATTGCAAACAAGTATGTTCCACATTTTTCCATTTCAAGTCCAATCAAAATACTTATATAATGAAGAACAATATACTCACAGCACTACAGGCACAACGGTCAGAAACTTCCTGTTGCGTGTGAGTTGCTTGCCATTTTCTATTTGCTCCCACCAAGTCAATCCATTGTAGATACCCTGGTCATCAGCAAAAGGTGTTCCCTTCTTCCAGTGAAAAAAGTGATATGTAACCTGAAGTGGGAAGAAAAGTCATTTGCAAGATATATCAATGGGAGATCAAAAAAAGAGCAAGAGATTAGATAATGCAGAGGGAAAATAATGGCAAATCAGTTTCTTTTCCATCTAATTGGTTTGGACAGGACAAACTGTTTAATATTTCTATCAGTCTCTTGCAGGAGATTAAATTTTCTTTCCAAAGGCAAAGCAAATATCTCCAGTAGCATGAAACAAATGAAAGCAAATTTTACTCCATAGCTTGGCTGATATTATTGTTGAAAGAACAATGTAAAATAAGCAAATATACTTTATGTAAAAGATGGAGAAACATATTATTTTACCTATCTGTATAGGACAAAAAAGAGATCCATTTGGAGAGGTACGAGAAAAAAACAATGGTAGACAACTGCTACTCACTAAAATGGTTATTTAGATACTAGGAACCTAGCAGATTAACACCCATCGGCTATAAGAAGAAGCACAAACAAATCCTCCCACAAAATGATCAGGTCATGTGATCCATGCACCAAAGCTATAACAGTAGCATCTTCTAAAACCTTTATCTAATTACGGTTTATCGAAATAGTTACAAACACAATTGACACCCCCACCCAAAAGAAGAAAAAAAATAACACACAAGAACACATGTGCCTGCGCACGGTCAGGGCAATATATTTCATTGTTTAGCCTCAATTATCATGTCTACGGTGAAAGAAAATTGATGTATTTCAGAACAATTCTAGAAAGTTAAATCCAAAACCCAAGCAAAGATAAGATCCTAAAATATATAGTTCATGACCTTGACATCAGGGGAACCTATTTGATTCTCTAGAAATCTCAACATTTAGAAAAAGGAATTTGTTCTGAAGCTAAATGATATTGGAAAAAGAGTCCCTTAGTGTGTCAACCCCAGCTTCCTCAATCAAAAACAAATAAATTTGAAATCTATCCTTTTGCACTATAACTGTCAGAAATACCTTCACTCGAGTTAGCTAAAATGAAAATTGTTCACGTGATGTGCATCTGGCTTAATTCTTGTATAATATCAACCATTCACAAGCTCTACCAAGTTTTAGGCAATACAACGTCACATTTAATTTCCTTTATGTTAACATTCAGGTTAAGTCTATTGAAATTACCAAAGCAAATTGAAAATCAAACTTTCAATAATTTTGAGGCTCTTCTTCTATGAGTCAATCTTAAGCTATTTCACAACGAGCCCTAACAGGACACAAATTGTCCCTAATCCCAAACTCCATGATCAGCTTCACCTAGCCCTTTAACCAAATAAATTATCATAGTCTCGACACCATATATACACATTCAAATCTCATTAAGTAAAAAACAAGAAGAAAAGAAATGAAAGAACAAAACCACAAATCCAAATCCAACATAAAACAGATCAAAAACCAAAAAGAGCACAGCAGCAAAACTATCTCATCGAATCAGCAAGAAATGAATGTTTCAATCAAACAAATCGAACCCAATAGAGAAGGCACCGTGTATGTAAGCGAGAAAACAAAAGAGAGAACTTACAGCGAAATGACAGAGATGGACAATAGTCCACGCCATCCCAGGAGAACAACCAAAGATGGAAAGAACAAGGAGCCATGACATGAAAACGATGAGCATATAAGTGGTCCAAACTCCAGGATATGTGAACCACTCCGTGTTCCTATTCACATCTGTCGTTGGCTCAGCTTTAACGTACATTTCTTTGGTTTTCTTTGTCGTTGGAGAAGGTTAGAGAATGAGTTTAACAAAGGGCATAAGGAGACCCAGATTAGAAAATATAAAGTATCGGTGACTCAGTCAAAAAAAAGATGAGATTTTGATGATGGCTTTTCGTCTTTTTTTAGTTTCAAGATTGTGACTTTGAAAGATTGAGAGCGAGAGAGAGAGGGAGAGAGAGGTCTGAGTGGGCAGGGTTCGAATCAAAAGGAGTCCAAAACAAGGATTAACATGATATTTATGTGTATGGTAGTGGTTTTTTAAATATTTTTTATTAAAAATATATTAACTTAATATTATTTTTATTTAGAAAGATATTTTGATATCAATACATTAAAATAATTTAAAAATTAAAAAAATATTGTTTGCCACACAATTGAAAACTTGACCTAACAAAAAACAATGAATAAACTAGAAGAAATAACATAAAATAATATTTTTTATATCAACATATTAAAATAATTTAAAAATAAAACATATTTTATAAAACACAATTAATTTAGTTAAGAACAATGAATATATTTGGCGGAAAGACAAGATAAGGAATGGTAAATTGAGTTTATATTTATTAATGAAATATAAATTGTTTTTTGGTTGTTAAGGTTTGGATCCCTATTAGTATTAGATTATACTTTCTATTAAGTAATTTAAAATGATATTAGAGTATCCGTTTCTATATCCACCAAGTACTTTTTTTTTTTCTTAAATTCTAAGAAAATATAATATATATAAAACTTCGAAAGTAGGTTTAGGCCAATAAAGTTTATTCATTTTTTAATTTAAATATTAGAATCATAGAAATTTATCTTTTAAATATAATATATTGACATGAAATATAAAGAACTTAGACTGGTCATAACATAAGTTAATATAAAAATACCTTAAACATACATTAAAAAAAGTCCTAAAGAGTCGAAAGATTTAACAAGAACTCAATGTAAGTAGTAAGGCCTGGGGCCAAGAAAAAAGTAAAACCTAATCCATTATTGTTAGTACTTGATTTCAAGCAATTAGAGAATGGTAGCTGTGCATGTGTGATATTTAATGGCCGGCTGCCTGGTATTCATAAATGGCGTCTTCTATTTTAAACTTCCATTTTCAAAGATCATGTTTGAGTACTGGTGTACATATAGCATGATCGGCCTGGCAGCTGAGATGGGTTTTTCTCGTTGATTTGGTAGGAACCGGGATCAATTAAAACCCTAATCTATAGACATAATGGTGATTAACAATCAGGCCAGTAGTTAAATAAAGTATGCTGCAAGCATTACTTGAGGAGTTGCAGGAATACATAAACAGAATCATTGCCATCGATTCAGAAAAAAGTAATAATAATAATAATAATTAATGTTACAACAACTTCGGATCATTCAAGGCTGCCAGTTGTGTTGTCGAGCCTGCGTCAGCCCTCAGCCAATCTTCTCTTTGCTGACTTGGTTCGGTAGCACCAAACCTCAAAAGCTTCACTCAAGTCTGGATACCTGACCTGGTCAGCTTCCATCCAATCTGCGAGGATATCAGCTTGGTCATTTGATGGCAATGCCAGTATCAATGAGATGATTGCCCCTTCGATACTCTGGCACAAGTCCTCATCCATCTTGTGAGGAAAACTCGTGTCTTCACTGCCTTTTGAATCTAAAAGAGGTTTCATTTCCCTAATATAAGGAAGCCATGACTTTAGCAGCTGCACCCGAATTGGAGCTGAAAGAATCACATTGCCATAACCAACTGCTTCTAAAGCCTTTCCACTCACTTCAATCAATTTTACTTTCAAACCCCACATGGCAGATTCAAGTTTCTTGTCTGCAAGTATCCCCAGAATGTCTCCAGTGATCCCAGCCCAGCTTGATACGAAGTCTTTCATCATTTCCATCTTAGGAAGTATACTGCACATCCATTCAAGATCAGATACACACTGCAATATATTGGCCTCTGCTGTATCCGATGCGATGTCAGACTCCAAAACTAGGGAGGACAATTGCTTTTCAAATGTAGAAAAGATTCTGGAAAGACCCATTCTCACAACTGATTTTACTTCATCATCGGCCATAACCAATGGCATATCCTCATCTTCCCCTATCATGTATTCTATTTGTTCCTGAGCCGAGAATTTAAGTTCATCGCCAAAAGGAGGGCATGACTCGCCAGTAGATGTCGCGAAGCGAACTGCAGAAACAAAAACATTTTTGGTAGCAGTTGAATCTACTGGTTTGATCCTGGAAATTATGGGCATGGCAACTGGACCTAGTTTGGAGACTGCTTTTATTATTTGTTCCTCTTCCCCGTGCTTCGAAGGAACAGCCTCTAAGTACTGGATGCAGCTCTTCGTAATCTCTCCTGGCAGCTGAATTCAACAGATACTTTGAGAACCCCAATAGCGGATTTAACAGAGTCCAAGGAGTCCAATTGCAAGTCCACTGGGAGATACAGCAATCTCAAGAAGTTAACATGATGATCATAGTTGAGCTCTGTGCAATGAATCTCAACGCATTTACCGAAGTCTGGACAAGAGAACCAATCTGCAAAGAATTTACTCTTGCTTACTAAAGAAAAGGAGTGGGATTAAAAACATTCAGGTCTTCCTTCACAATTTCTCAAGCATAGAACAACATCAGTGGTGCTCTCATCTCCAAATCCACAAGGCTTGACTATTCCAATTTCGTCCATGTATGAAGAGAAGGAATAAAAAATTCATGCTTTGTGCAATTGAAAGAATAATAACCCAAATTGCAAGGACTGATGAGAACGAATTTGGAGTTTGAAATGCATGGCATACATTCCAGAAAAAACAGACCAAGTTTGAATCTTTCAAGCAAGAACTTTATCTGAAATGAATAAAAAAGATTGAAAATGAAATTGAAAAGATGATATCAACAGATCATTTATGAAAGACGAAGTGTGCATGTAAACATCACAAAGTCAACACCAGCATAATATATCGTGCTAGTTTCCACAATTCAGTGTGCACATGCATAGGTAAGCTTGATAGAGAGAGTAAATACAAGAAAAGGTGAGATGTCAAAGCACCAATATTTCCTTATTTTACTAAAGCAAAGTCCATAGTAATAAAGATTATTGCTGCAGCTAAACAAGGCCTTGGGTTCATTGACAGGATTGCTTCGACCTATCAGAAAATTCATTCAAACAAGTCATTTTGCCAAAACTTTCTGCTCCATAGTTCTTTAACAGAGGGAATTCTACACAGTTGCGAAGCACCAGGAGTGGAATCCAAGTATGTTTTGCTAAATTATTGAACTGATGTATTGTTGTGCCATGCTTAAAGCATCGATTCAAACTTTTTCTTCATTTGGTAATACAAAAAGAACAGAACTTGAAACAATCACAGCTCAATCTTATCTTATTATCAACTCTTTTCGAAATCCCAAAACAAGCAATAATACATTTTTAATGCTAAATCCACTTTCCTTTCCCTTCCTCCACTTTTATTCGCAACCATACAGAGACTAAAAGGTAATTCTTTAAACTATGCAATAATAAACAGTTTCAAAGCGAGAGTTTTTCCCAGAATGTCTAACAAAATGGCGCCTCCTACATATCAATAAACTATAACAAGAATCTTTTAATATGTGCAAAATCAAAATTACATAAAGAAACCAATCAAGAAATCAAAATCAAAATAAAACAGTGTGAATAAAAAGAAAAACTTTACTTGAGAAGAAGATTTACCTTGCAAAGACCCTGACGGCACAAACTGTATCGATAGTTTAAGCTATAACCGTGGAGAACCAAAATCCACTATCACAGCTGATAGGATGGAGTTTGAACTGCAGAGAACATTAATCATTACAGGAAGTTCCTTTTTACTTTTTAGGCTTTGGAGATTCTCCAGTTCAAGCTTCCAGTTGTTGCGGGAGATGAGAATTCCAAAGTGAACTGTGTGTTTGTTGTCGTGATTAAAGAAATTTTTTAATAATATTTATAATTTTGGTTTTAAAAAAATAAATTTAAAAAATATTTTTTAAAATAAAAATATTATGCGATAAATTTTAATATGTAAAATATTTTTTTATAAATAAAAAATATATTATTTTAGTTTTTAAAAAACCAAGTTTAAAACATGATAATAGATGACGCTAGTGGTAAAATTAAGTAGAAATTAATTGATTAATCAAATGAATTTTTTTATGTAATTAGACAAACACAGAAATTACCACAATACTTAATATTCTTTAAAAAACCTAGTCATATCATTTGATTACTATCTTATATCTTATATTAGGAAAGATAAAGATACAGGAAAATAAAGGAGATATGTTTTCATATAATTTTTTATTTTAAAAATATAAAAATTCACTTTAAAATAGTTCTAAGAATATATTTATTTTATGTTTTTATATTTTTTATCAAATATATTTTTACCTTTTCTAATCTACTTTTCATTCTAATCTAATTACTTAATACATCTAATTAAAACATTTAGAAAACAACATGGTATTTCATTATTTATACCCAGCTTTATTTTTTTTTCTAAACTATTTTTATTGAAATTAGACCTTTCTACAACCTAATTTTATGACATTATGCTGTTTTTCTCTTCTTCTTTTTTTTCAATCCAGATCCTATTTTTTCTTTTTTTTCATCTATTTTTTATTTCAATTTTATTTTTTAATTTTATTTTTAGATTTTTTATAATAGTATTTGGGTTATTTTTGAACTAACAAACTTATTATATCACATCAAAAAAACTCTCAAACAATTTAATTTTAAAATTGGACTAGATAAGAAATTATGTCAAAAATTTCTTTTCTTTCAATTTCATCATTGTTTTCTAGTTATTATTATTTTTAACCAAATAACCGAGTTGTCTTTGAACTAATCAAGTCAACTATATCACAACTAACAAACTTATTATATCACATCAAAACAACTCTCAAACAATTTAATTTTAAAATTAGACTAGATGAGAAATTAGGTTAAAAATTTCTTTTCTTTCAGTTTCATCATTGTTTTCTAATTATTATTATTTTTTATCAAATAACCGAGTTGTCTTTGAACTGATCAAGTCAACTATATCATAATATAATAATTTTTGCACGTTTTAATTTTAAACTTGAGATAATATTATTTATTATGTGAGAGTTTAATACCATTTATGAATCAT